CTGAGGTAATGCCTCCCAGGTGCACAGAGGAGGTTCTGTGGTGAGGACAGAGGAACCTCAAAGAGCCAAAGGGGTCCTACTCCATCTGATACACAATAGCCCTTCTGTACCTACCTGCCAGGTTTGCAACCCCAAAGAGTGTTGTTTAGCATCATGCCCTGGATAAACAACATAATTCTGCTGCTTGCTGTGTTAGTAATAAGTCTCTAGTAAATATCAAGTAGATACCTGGGTGCCTGTGGGGAGAGGAAACATCCACTTACATGTATATGTTTGTAGTTTCAGTAATTCCCTCAGGGTACTAAGTTTGAAACTCTGGGGGTCTTTCTCTTCCTTCCCTTTCTTCCCATAATGATTTTTTCCTCAGTCAAGATTAGGCTAAGATTAGGCTAAGCATGACCAAGGGCCACCTAGCAGCTTTGTTGATGAAGCCTTTATATAAAACCTTTTAGCTGTGTCAGGACTGCCCATCTCAGATGCTGTTTGTCAGTGTCAAACTTTTAAGCAATTCTTCCTTAAATGTCAGGAAGATCTGGGCAAAGACTCATAAGCATTCAGTCTATCCATGGAAAATTCAAAATTATAGACTCAAATTTCAACTATCAAACAAATATTTTTTGTTTGTTTGTTTTTTATACATGTAATTTTTATACACATTTGTTTTTTTTATACATGTAATTCTGTAGAAATAGAAAAATTTTGAAGAATATGTTTGTTGATGTTGTTTTTGTTTTAATACAGAATTCATTATCCTTTGTCTGATTTAGTTCCCAGTTTTGTTTTGTTATACAAATACAGTAAATATTTTTCTTAAGACTATTACACTTCAGGCAAATGCGAAGAAGCCACAGTGTAAATTATTATTAGGCCCATGGATTTTCTTGACCTTTTTCTTTCAGAAATTTCCTTATATAATTGTGTCTTTCCTTTTCATTGTTGTTCTGCTATGCTTTTGAAAGGCTTGGATAAAGCAATTTATTTTACTGTATTTCCTTGAATAAAGGGGTTAAACTAATTGTCTAAGGAATCACACTTGACTAAGATTAGACATCATTGTTGGAAGCCTAACACTTAGGATTTTGTGAAGAGAATGAGGAACATAATGAGTATTCCTGTAGAGCCAAGGTAAAGTAGCTTTATGTCTGAAAGTTAAGAGAAGCTTCAAGAGGCAGAGGCATCGTTTTACCCCTTAATATACCACTCACTGTTTGCACATGATGATCTAAATTTAATGTGAAGAAGCTGTAATTCTTAAAAGAGAAAAACAGCCAAAGGGAGAAGTCATCTTTCAATATACAGCAGACACAGTCACTAAAGGTATAGCTTTAACACTTTAAAAAATAAAAGGTCATATGAGTTAATTAGGCTTTTTTTTTTTTTCCCTTTTCCATTTAATAAGAAACAAAGTTACCATGGAGACTGACTGGATAATGCATTCTATTTTGGTACAAAAACACCTTTTAGAAAGAACATATTTAGTGAGGAAATTTCAAAGGCAGTGAGTGCTGTGAAAAAAAAAAAAAAAAAAGAAAGCCTTTACTTACTCTTTACTTCCTTTTTTTTTTTTTTTTTTTTTTTATTTGTGAGTGCATTAGTGGTTCTGACCCTGTTGTCTGGGGGTTATCTGCAAAGATTTCTTTGCTCTCTGTAGAATAAATATGTTGCAATAGTAATTTTGGCAAGGGTAGCAGCTATACCTATGTTGAGATTGCAAACTACAGTCCATATTATCCATGGATCTGATACTTGTGGCTCCCCCAAACCCTTTGAAATCTCCACTCAGTTGCTTTCTAATGCCATAGACCCTAAATTCCCTATGTCTAAGTTGCCTTAGGTCTCACATTACAGCTCTTAACCTGGCAGTAAGGCCTTCACAGGAAAGAGAGAAGGATCTTTCTGGACCTCTCTGTATTAATTCTTTCCCCAGGAAGCTGAGCCAGGACTAGGAAAAAAGGTGTTAAAAGGAACATTTTCCCTCTTATTTATTTGTTCATTTATTTATTTATTTATTTTCATTTGGTATAGGCACCTAATTCAGATGAGGGCCTCCTCAGGTAAGTTTTCTACTGAGACAAATTTTTCTATGCCATTTGCATCTTGATAGTTGGTAGTAAGTACTTTCTCAGGCACCAATCCTCTGCTTCTCCAGACCATGCTTTGAACAGGTGACTGTCTCAGACTACCATTTGCTGAAACACCTAAAGTTTTCCACAAGCCAAAGGGATTGCCATTGCTATTTATAACTGTTTTAGTTTTTATGAAAAGAAATTTGTCTTATGGAATGTATTGAGACTGTGACTGTAACTCTGAGACTTGTTAACTATTTAGTATTCTAGCTTTATATTTCTCAGTAATATTTCATTCAGGTTATTGGAAGATCCATTCTTTACCTTGAGAAACTGTTCCAAAACCTTTTCTGATTTGTAATTAAGTTTAGCTTGACAACAGATTTTTCATGTGGGCTTTCACATGAACACAGCATGAATTTGCTCCTTCAGTCACAGAAAAGCTAATGAAAATAGATAATAATAATCAAAAATTAAATTATATACAGAAGTGTTTGAAATGTTACTTAATATTTTTTTCAGTATTCACTCAGTTTCAGAATACTAATGTTTAATAAAAATATATTACTCTTACTCAAAAAACAAGCTTATACATGAATTACAAAATGCATATAGTAAGAATATTTTGAAGGACAGTCATTATCTGTTCACTAGATTAAACACAAACAATGTAAATTACTTATGCATCCAGATATGTGGAAAACTCTCTATAATGGCAAAGGAGTATTTCTGTGTGTTTTTTATTATTTCTTTTTTCTTCTTTTTTTTCCTCACTGATTTTCAATTCCATTCTTTTTCTTGTACCTAAAACAATTTAAGGAAATAACTGCACATACTCCAGTTTAAATATTTAAGTAATATACCATTCTTCTAGCATTTATATACACAGAAAAAAACCTTGACTGAAAGTGGGCTATTTTAAAGTCTCACAATGAGTCCTTATCTAGAAGGCAAGGAGGCAAAAGCATCTGGATGAGCTTGATTATGGTCTTCAAACAGAGCAGGTAGTAGCTGTGTGGAACCAAGCGTAATTTATCATACGAAAGGCTTACTTGGGGCACTTGGTAAAAGTGAGACCATTTAGAAAGGAAGTCATTTTTCTTAAATTTATTCCCTGAAGGACAAGAGGAAATATTAAATATTTAACAACTGCGCAGAAAAATAAAATTGCCAACTTTAACTCAATTTCCAAGATTGATTGATGCTGTATTATTTCTACAGCTACATAGGTGACATGTGCCCATAGTTTGTTATAGATGTACAGAATAGTAAGCAAAATATTAGAAATATTACTAACTTTGATGCATTTGGTAATTGACCTGAAGAATATTGCAGTATATTTCTCTAACACACAAGCCAGATAAATAATTTGAAAAAGGACATGTTCAGGTTCTCATTAACAGTGATAATGGGAAATTCAAATAAAGTGTTTGTAACATAAAATTGATTTATAATATGTACTTCTAATGACTTTTCCTAGAGTTAAGTCTTAGCATACAGATACTTTTAGTATTTCATTGATTTGTGTTTGATATTTACAGAGAAGGAATGAAAACAATTTTGCGGTAGAGTACTAAATAAGTAGTATGTAAGGTCTTGAATCTTTTTAAATATGAATCTACAATACAATTTAAAAAAATAAGGAAGGAAAGGCATCAAAAAACATCAACAAGAGTAAAATTGGATATGTATACTAGAGATCTCTAGTAGTGTTGTTGAAGCATAAAATCATTTTTTCTTTCCACCAGGTATACTTCTAAAGGCACGTAAGAGAGGACTTGTTGAGTGGGAGCCATATTGTCTAGCTTAAGGTATCTGACAGTGGGATGTCAATAATGATCTAATACCTGTAAGATACTTTAAGATAAAGAGATGAAAGTACACACTATAAAAGAAGGGTTAATAGTCCCTTTGTTGGACTCTGATCACAAGACAACATAATTATTTTTTTTCTCTCCACTGGTAATAAAAGGAGCCTAAGGTGCCTAGACCTAATTTTCAGATGCACAATCTAACAGTGACTCATCCCCCTTGTTTCTTGTGAAAACATACTTTCCTTTCAATTTATTCTCCAATTTAGGTACAAGAACTGATATGAAAGAGGAAGAGTTCACTGTATTTCATTAATACAGAGAACAGACTGAGCATCCCATGATTGTTGACACCTTGAATTAAAGGAAAGGTTCAGGGAATGTTTTGCTTGTTTGTTTGTTTTTGTTGTTGTTTTTTTTGTTTATGTGTTACATTCATTGTGTATATCACAGCTTTTCATAGATATACCAGTGCTTGAGCTTAGGATGCAAAGTATAGTTACAAGTCCTTTTCTGTAGGTAGGTAATTTAGTTACAGTCTTATAGCCAGAAACTGTACTCAAAAAATTAATTCAAAACTGTGAATTTGTGTGAAAAGGATTATCCAAATTCTAGTATTTATTCTTTGTGTGCCTTGGGATCAGGTGATTACTAGTGCTCCTCATGTCCTTCCAAACACTTAATGATTAGTAGCCCTAAAAGATAAAGAAATAGAAGTGCTACTGTTCCCACAGTATACCCAATTTATATATGCATTCCACATAAACTCAATTGTATGGGAACTTATAAAGAAACTCAACACTGAAGAAACCAGAAGAAGTAAAGCATTTCTGTAATGTTATTTATATCAGTAAAATCAAAGTTCTGAGTTGTTAAAGGATCATGCCTTGTGTTTTGTCAGTTGAACTGCCCTTCTGTGCTATGGCTATGCCCAGGCCATGGCTGGGCTGGGCTTTGATGCTCCACAGGCACCAAAGACACAGAGAGAAAATTACTGGTTGCTGTAATGAACAGTGCTCTGTTGGCTGGAAGAGCAGAGACACTGGGAGGCTTTAGAAACATCAAAAAACACATTAAAGCATGGAAACAATAAAATCTCTGAATGAAAATAAGAATTTCTCACCTCTCAAACTGCCTCATGCTGGTCACTGCTGGTTCCAAATGGTTCCAAAATCAACAGTGCTGACTCACCCTTTGATGAAACACCATCCTGTCAGAGGAGTCTGTGGCACCGTGGCTCAGGCACATTTCATCTCCTGCAGCCAGAGACAGGAGAAGACATGTGGGGAAACACGTGAGGGCTTATCAGAGGATACAAGGAGGGACAGAAGGTGCTTTTCCTAAGTGTTTATTTAATGTTTGTCTCTTTTGTTTCTGTTGTGGTTTAACCTGGCTGGCAGCTAAACACCACACAGCCGTTTGCTCACCCTCCCCCCTCCCTCTCTGGGACGGGGGAGAGAAATGGAAAGTGAAGCCCGTGAGTTGAGATAAAGACAGTTTAATAAGACAGGAAAATAATAATAATAATAATAATAATAATAATAATAATAATAATAATAATAATAATAATAATAATAATAATAATAATACAATGGTGATAATAGTGCTAATAATAATAATGTGTACAAACAAATGATGCACAATGCAATTGCTCACCACCCGCTGACCGATGCCCAGCCTAACCCCAAGCAGTCCGGCCCCCCTCCGCCGGCTAGCCACCCCTATATATTGTTTAGCATGACGTCAGATGGTATGGAATACCCCTTTGGCTAGTTTGGGTCACCTGTCCTGGGTCTGTCCCCTCCCAGCTCTTGCTGTACCCCCAGCCTGCCCGTTGGCAGGACAGAGCAAGAAGCTGAGATGTCCTTGGCTTGGTGTAAGCACTGCTCTGCAACAATTAAAACATCAACATGTTATAAGCACTCTTCTCATCCTAAGCCAAAACATAGCATTCTACCAGCTACTAGGAAGAAAATTAACTCTAACTGAAACCAGGACAGTTTCCCAACAACAGAACTAGTAATTTGAAACTTACCTTAACTGGCAATAAATAAAAGCAAGTGGAATTTCCTCAGTTAAGACTGTTTTGCTTGTGACAATCTGATATTGGGCTTCATTTCAACCAGATTCATAGAATCATAGAATATTCCAAGTTGGAAGGGACCCATAAGGATCATCAAGTCCAACTCCTGGCACCACACAGGTCTACCCAAAAGTTTAGCCCAAGTGACTAAGTGCACAGTCCAATCGCTTTTTAAATTCAGACAGGCTTGGTGCAGTGACTCCGTCCCTGGGGAGCCTGTTCCAGTTTGCCACCACCCACTCAGTGAAGAACCTCTTCCTAATGTCCAGCCTAATCTTCCCCTGTCTCAGCTTAACACCATTCCCGCAGGTCCTATCACTGGTGTTTACAGATAATAGGTCACCTGCCTCTCCACTCCCCCTCGTGAGGAAGTTGTAGGCCATGATGAGGTCCCCCCTCAGCCTCCTTTTCTCCAGGCTGACCAAGCCCAGTGCCCTCAGCCGCTCCTCATACGTCTTCCCCTCTAGGCCCTTCACCATCTTTGTCACCCTCCTCTGGACACTCTCCAACAGTTTAGTGTCTTTCTTGTACTGTGGTGCCCAGAACTGCACACAGTACTCGAGGTGAGGCCGGACCAGCACAGAGCTGGTCTAGTGGCAGATGGGACAGAACTCTTTTCATGATCACCTGAATGGAGACAGCACGAACAGTAAGATAACACATTTCTTCAGTGTCCTGTCAATGAAATCTAGCCAGAGAGAGTAAGTGGGTACAAGGCATGTTCTTATTTCACAGTTCAAACCTCTGATAACAACTGCAGAGTAGGCAAAGCTATTTGTTTTTTTTCCTCTCTTTGTACAGATAATCTTTACATGAAGTTTACAAATTCTCTGCTCTTTCGCTTTGCATGATTATGCTTCCATGTATATAATCATATCCATGTCTATGAGAACCATTTCCAAAAAATATCCTTCTAACTCACACTGACAGGGAACAAAACAAATGCATCAACTCTGCTGCAGATTCAGTCTGAAAATGCTGGCATCTTCAGCATCAGCCAAGTGGACTTTTGCCTTAGTATATGTAGGCAAAGTGCTTAAATTCTATGGTAGGATTGAACATGCTTCTATTAGGGTTAACTAATGAGTTAGAAATGTCTGTGCCACTCTGGAAATCTCTAACTGAATCATTTGGTATTGCTCTTCTTATAAGAGAGAAAGGAATTCCTTCAATACTTGCTGATGATAATACATGCACCAGACACAGAGCAAGTCAACCAATGACAGTCTCTTCAATGTTTTCATTTTTCGCTTCTTTTTTTAATCCCTAAAGAACACGCAGGCATATTTTTTTTTGAGGTACCCAGTAATTGCATGCTACAAAACTTTTAAGTTTTGCTTTTAGGGACACACTTATTTTGCTTTAATCTGTGTCTTCTTTTACAGTGTCACTGGAACTCCTTTTACTCAGACTTAATAAAGAAAGAAGACAATGCGTAGACCTCCCATGTTTACACTACTGATTTTCCTACATGCAATATTTTTATTTTCTTCTTCACTGTAAACAACTTTATTATTGTGTTGATGAACAAGTAGGGATGTGCCAAGGCATGCAGCTCAAACTGTTAATTGTTAATGATGTGATTCTTCAAGCAGGAACAGCAGCCTGAGAACACAGGGTTTGTTTTTAGTAATTTAAGGAATTTACAACTGTGTTCATCACTCCACTGTAATTTAAAGTATGAAGTGAGAAACACATTTTGTACAGAATTTTGGCATTTGATGAACTAAAGTCATCAAGTAGTAGCATACCTTGTTTAGTTAAATAATTTTGAGAATTTGATTCAGTTATCTGATATTTTCTGGAAAAAAAAATGGAAAAAAAAAAAAGCAATAGTAATTCAATACATGGGTATACATTTATGCATCCTGCGGAGGATCAGCTTGTGACATTTTAAGGATTTGCATTATAGACAGGGGAGAATATCTTCTTCCCAGGGTTTATCCCATAGGCTTAGTCTGTTGTTTGTAGAAACAAGTAGACAAAGGCAACAACTTCAAAATAGCAAAAGATGTATTTTTGACAGAAATAGAAATTGAACAGAAACATGAGCACACAGAGCTATAAAACAGCTCAAAAAATGCCATTTAATATCAGGACTAGATATTTTCACAGCATCCCAATCCTCTTGAAGCCTGACTGGACTGTTCCTCTACTGTATCACTGGAGGAAATATGGGTAGGAATTTTACCTCAAGAGTTCCCACGTTGGATTTCTTCCTACTGTCTTCAAAACCTAGGATCAAGTGTCCAAATTGTTCTTTCAAATAGCTAAAACTCAGCCCTAATTCAGACTGTTTACAAACTCCACCTGCCCTTGTGACATGGCATATGAAAAAGTTCCTAGGAAAGGCTTGGTGTCCTGTTAAGGAAGGACCCAAATCATTTGTTCCACCTGACATACTCACTGCAAGGTTTCCTTTAAGAATGACAGCTATATAGCCTCCTACTGCTAGCTTATAATTAAGTTGCTACTACTAATAAACCCATTATTCTTAATATTAATCCTTATAATTAATTAATATGAAACTGTTTGGGCTTGAGTCTGCCCTCTGGCAATGAAGGCACAGTCTTATAAAATTCCAGCAGGGTTTTTACAAGCCTGCATGCCTTCATGTGCAGAACAGAACATCAACCCACTAAAAAATTGGATATGTATTTAACCAAAGTGTACCTGGAAATCATGAAACCTTTCTCAGTCTATCTTTTAGTGATGAAAGTAATTTACAACATCTCTTTTCACTTAGGTATCTTACTACTCAATCTAGAATGTATTATTTTCCTCTTTGCTGTATCTGCGTTTATAAATTTGAATTAAGTTTAGTTTACCAACTTTATTTCAAATTTATTTTGCTTTTAAAAAATTTGAAATAATTGTAGACAATAAAGGCTAGGTTTGTTGTTGTTGTACAATATGTCTTCACTGGAGGCACTTAAAAAACCAAACAAACAAAAAATACCCATATGATAAACTGTTTTAAAAATTGCTTTTAGCAAATGCAAATACAAGTGAGAATTAAACCATTATATCCTGAGTGGAAACAAAGCATTACAGCTTTGTTGGTATGAAGGGAAATGTATTCCGTATTTGATACCCAAGCCAAAAATTGAGCAGTAAGGTTATTTTTTTTATTTTTTTTTTCAAATTGAATTATAGCCTGTTTTGTGGTTCAGTTTTGAACTGTTAGTCACATTCACTATACTCTCTGAACACCAATGGAAGGATTTAAACATATTTCACTTCCTCATGAAAGGAAAGCTACCATTAGAAATTTGGCAACTATAGTACATTTAATTTAATATTCAAAATAAAATTCACTACAGCATGTTAAAGCAAAGAGATAAAATACTCAGAGTCTTCATTAATTTAGAGAAAATAAATAATATATTGGCAGCATGGGAGGGAAGGGAATGGGGAGAGAAGAAGCTGTAATGCTCTTCAAAATATCTCCTGTTTTGGGTAACTAAGGGAGGAAGACCCACACTACATATGAGATATTTTCTCTAATTGCAACAAGCTATTACGTGATGAAAAAATTGATGTTTTCACTTATTAAAGTTTTTGTTGTATTTGTAGTTGCATTTGTATTTATGAATATGTGTGTATATGCTTCAATCTTCTTGAATAAATCCTTTCTTTCATTCATCGTTGGTTTCCCAGGCTTAATTAGAATCATTCACATCACAAGCACTGTGGCCACTGCATCAGGGAATCCATGGATGAGATACTTACACCGTAAATCCATTCATTAAACAGTATTATTTACAGTCCTCAGAAGAAATTTCTGTAAGTGTTCCTGGAAAAATGCTATCACTTATTCTGTAATGATGATAATGGTTTCCAGTGAGGATGAAAATGCTTGTATGTTTATATGGTCTTTTTTTTTTTTTTTTTCTTCAGCACTTCCCTTTGTTCTGGAGGACACATCTAGAACATTTTTTCTGTAGCTGCCAGTATTACATATTTGAAAATCTTGTCCTATATTTGCACCATTTGTGGAGAATGCCAGCTATATTTTAACCCAAGCTTTCTATATTTTCTATAAAAGCGACCATGCCCCATTTCATTTTTTATTGCAGTAAGCTCAAAATTGCTGTTTTCATGTGCCAAAAGTGGCAGTTGGCAGTTAATATTTTAGCCCATGCAATTAAATGGTCTTGG